GCTCTTGGTCGAGGTCATGATGACGACAGGGTCCTCAACGGCAGTCGCTATGACGTCGACTGCCCACCCTTCCTTTTGGCTGGCGGGCCGCCAGGAAGGCATGTCCGTCTTCGCCTTGCTGAAAAAGGCTTCGAACCTGCATTCAGTTTCTTGATGATAGTTTCTTTCTTCTGAGCTCGAGATGTCCTGTAAGCAAAATTAAAGTCTGAGGTGTCTTCGCATTCGGTTGCCCATGGCAGGGAGATCGCCTTCGGCTACCTGGCTGGACTTCGGTACAAGGAGCTCACTGAAGCCCAAAGCGTCGGCGTCAAGAGAAAGTTCGGGAAGACGGACATGCAGTCGCACTACATCCGTGGACCGAAACTGCCCGATGAACAGATGGTGGAGTTCCTGGAGAAGTCGCCTGATTCCTTTGGGACCTTCTTCCACTTGGATTCCTATCCCTCGAACTTGCGAGAGGCCTGGCAAAGAATCTCGAGCCAAGACGAAATAGTGCGGTGACGCATAATTGTCCAGGATTAGCTTTCTATACCTGTTCAGGTGTCCATCAACCTCATGCAGGCCGAACTCGATGCACACGGACTTTGCGTCCAGGAGTTCCAGGGTCGAGGCCGCGGGCTGGTTACCAACCGGTCGATTCGCGAAGGAGACATCATTTGCCCTTGCTCCTGCATCTACTTTACGGACGAGAGCAAGCTCTTGCAATGCCTCCAGGCGAACGATTATTTTGTGGACTCCGAAACTTGGCTGTGTGTGGATTGGATTAGCTGAAACGGTGATGTATTTTTTTGTTTAATGGGCCTTCCTTCTATCAGAGAAGCTGCAGCTAGTCGACTTTCTGAGGTCGTGGTCGTCGAAAACATGCTTGTTCGTGGCGAGCCATGCAGGCTCTTCTGCGTCTTGGTAGGGGCCGCCAGGTTCACCAACGATTTCCGTGGCACGAGACGCCCCAATGCCAAGCTGACGATGTCCCCTGCAACTTTCGCCTTGGTCTTGGAAGCCTGCACCCCCAACGGTGTGGGCATCGCCTCGAGGGCGGAGATCACGATAAACTACGGTGTCGAGTTCGACATGAGCACCAAGATCGCCCGCACATCCACCGAGGACGACGCCAAGTTCATGGGCATGCTCGACAAGTTCTTTGTGAGGGCGGCGAACACAGAGAATGATGCCGACATGGGTGTTCAGGCACACTGCCTCCAAAATCTGTCGATGTTTAAGTTTAGACAGGGTTTAGATTGCGACCCGAGCCGCCTGGTAACCTGGTAACCTTCAACAATCAATCAGCTATCTAACTATATTGTTTCTGGTATTATGAATACAAGTCTTGCCCTTTCATGTTCAGACACCTTCTGATATGAGAGCAGGCAGTGGAGCCCACAGAGGCAAAGCCTTCGCCTCCGCCTCCACCCGTGCAGCCCGTTCCGGTGCAGACTGTGCTTCCTGGGGCACCCGCCGTTCCCAAGCCAAAGCCGACCCCGAAGGCCAAGGCCGAGCCGGCTGCGACAAACCCTTCGACAGGGCCTGCACCTTCGACATCGCCTTCGTTGCCTGGTACGGCGATTGCGAGCATTGCCTCTCCGAAGGTGGATTTCGTGCTGTCGGAAGGGAAGCTGCTGGCAACCTCTCACGAGAGCAGCAACAAAAGGATCCCGCGAGAAACGGTTTTGGCCAAGTGGGTTGGTGGTGGCGCATTTCAAAGAAGTGCAGAGCCATTGCCAAATACGATCCCGTACAATCTGGCCATGAAGGGGATGGTCTTCGACTTGGGCCACCAGAAGCTCTGCACCTTGGAGGACGCCATCGTCGCCAACAACGCCAAGCAGGCTCATGGCTACAAGCCCGTCGTGGCAGGGGCGAAGAAGATTGAGGTGGAAGGACGGGCAATTCTGCGGTTGTTTTGTCGCCTGCTTCATACATTTGTCACGGATGTTGCTGACATTCTTTCTCTCATTTTGTCAAATGCCAAATGCCAGGTGCCTGTCACAGAGTTTGAATTTGCTTGTCTTGGGCTGCCCGGTCTTCTATTGTGAAACTTCTCCGGGTGAGATTCTGTGTCCTCCCTGCGAGCGGATTTGGGTACCGACAGTGTTGGCGTGGCCTCTACAAACATGTCTTGAGTCTTGTGGAGTCATGGGACATGCTGCTTGCTTGTCGTCATGTCATGTCATGATTGCTCTCGCCGACAGTGCTGGCATGGCCTGTGCGAACATGTCTTGAGTCTTGTGGAGTGACGGGACATGCTGCTTGTTTGACGTCATGTCATGTCATGTCCACTCATGATTGCTGTCGCCAGGACTGCCGCTGATGCTGCTGCCCGACGAGACCCTCTACCTGGACCTTTATGCCGCCACTTCTACTTCGTCTTCGGCGGGTCTGTGCTGGTCCATGGCTTTGGAAGGTCAGGTGCTGAAGCCACGTGGCTTGTGCTTGTATGTGAAGAAGCAGCTCAACATTGAGCCGGCTAAGCCCTTAGAGCTGTGATTGTATGAGGAAATCAGAGCTCAGAGACCTTCAGCCGAAGAGCAGACCTGTTGCAAATCGTCGTGCGACTCAAATAACGGCGTTGTTGCTGAGCGGAAGATTTTTCTGATTCCTCATGCAAGATTTCAGGAGCATCCTTATGGTATGCTCGATAATTTTCCAGTTTATGCTCCGTAGTCTGGCCTTCTCCCTCGGTGCAAGCCGTTCTCGCCTGGGAGCACTCTTCG